TCAGATTCTTGCACAGAGCTTTAGCATACAATGTTTATTGTATGCTAAAGCTCTGTACAAGAATCTGACTTAATAATGACCTACTAATGATGAATAAATATTCATTTGAACTACCTGGACTCCTGATTCCCCTGCGCTTGGTAGGAGTTGGCCAAACAAGGACAGATCTTGTTTCTGTATTATGTTTCTGTTAATGCTTGCAGACTGGTTCTTCACAAAAATTGAGGTTAGATTTAGGATTTTTCACTGCTTTCTTGATAGGTAGTTTCAGATTTATTTATTTATTATATTTTTTTATTCCATCTTTATTACTTTACAAATAACTCAAGGTGGCAAACATACATAAAACTCCCTCATCCTATTTCCCCCACGACAACCACCCTGTGAGGTGGATTCGGCTGAGAGAGATTGACTAGCCCAAAGTCACCCAGTTGACTTTCACGGCTAAAATGGGACTAGAATTCACCATTTCCTGGTTTCCAGACCAGTACCCTAACCACTACATTGTACTTTAACCACCAATACTCATCAATCTCCTGAACTTGATGGTTCCAGCTCCAGATAGATTAAGACTACCGCACTCAGGAAGCTCAGCTAGCATGGCCATTAGCTGGATCCTGTGGGTGTTCTAGTCACAACACAACAGGAGAAAACCAGATTGAGAAAGCTGTACATAATGATCTCTTGGTTTCCCCTCTACCATATCATATTAGGAGCAATTTTATTGTACTGTGTCTTGTTTATTTAATAGCTTGGCTTTCACTCCCTGAAACCTTCAGTAATACATTTGGGACTTTTCTCTCCCTTCTTTGCTGCCCACTCAAGTACTTCTCTGAGATATTAGTGACTGGTTCACAAACCCTAGTGAGCTTTATGGCTACGTGGGGATTTGAACCTGTGTCTCTTCTGGTCCTAGTTCCATACTCTTAAGCACAACTCCACACTTGCTTTCAATCTGGCAGCCTTGTTATAAAAATGACTGATGTAACATGGAATTCTTGGGAGAGTTGAAAATATGCTTTTAGCGATAAGCTTTTTTTTCCTCCCCTGATGACTGTAAAGAACGAAGAGGCGGAATGGAGTAAAATCTCTGTTCTGTTCATTAATTAGGTTGCCTAATGTTTTTATCCTGCAGGAGGAAAAGGCTACAACGTATGCTTACAGTTCTATGAGATAGTTAGACTGAGATGTGAGGGTGATTGATCTAAATGTTTAATGACCTACAGGAGGGAGGGAATTTAAGTCCCATGAAGATAGATTGAAAGAATTGAGGGGGAGATATGACAGTAATCTTCAAATACCTGAATGGATGCCACACAGGAGGAGGCCAAGATTGATCTCCATTGTTCAAGAGTGCAGGACACAAAGTGATGGATTTCACTGGCAAATAACAATAAAGCTTAAGATACAGTTCCATAGTAGATGAGAATTACCCAAGGAGCGGTTTAGCCCCCATTTTAATGGACTTGGTCAAATAGAGACAAGACAGCATTTGTCTGTCACTCAATCTAGTCTATCCATCCATCTCCCACCTTTATTATTTTTTAAAATAACTCAAGGCAGCCAACATGTCCAATACACCTTCCTTCTCCTGTTTTTCCCACGACAAAAACCATGTAAGGTGAGTTGGGCTGAGAGAGAGAGAGAGAGTAACTGGCCCAAGGTCTCCCAAGCTGGCTTTTATGGCTAAGGCAGGACTTGAGCTCACGATCTCTTGCTTTCTAGCCTGCAACCTTGACCACTAGACCATACTGGCTCTCATTTGTTGGGGTTGCTTTAATTTAAATTCTTGCCCTTAGCACAAGTTTGGATTCAGTGGGTTTAAAAGCCCTCCCCACTCTATCATTCTTTTCCACGGCTTAATATCCTGGTTAAAAACATGAACTGTGATCTGAGAAGTGTCTACTTTAAAAAATCCCAGGTTTTGAAGTGGCACCTTTCCTGAGATTATTCTAGACCTTTTAGTCTTAGTCTTAGATCTGTCATATGCTATAAGAGTAAACCAGTGGTGGGTTCCAGATCACGGTACAACCAGTACGGTGCAACGGGGCCTGATGTCCACCACATGAACGCGTGCAGCACACGCATGCATACTTACCGCCTGCGACGCTCCAACTGCTCGGTAGAGTGTCATCTGGCGCTGTACGCTCCGTGCACGGAAGCCCCAAAGAGCTCAAATACCAGTAAGGAGCGCGGGCAGGCGGGTGGGCCCTCCGGAGCACCGTACTGGAACGATACCTGGTGCTCCCGGCAGGCACCAGTACGCACGTACCAGGGCATACAGGTCGTAACCCACCACTGGAGTAAACTTATTCATTCTAGTGTTATTGAATTATAATTCAATAGTAATTATATGGAATCACACAGATGCTTTGACCAAGTGAAAACACTCAATAAATGTCAAATGTTTGCTTGTGGAGGAATATTCTGTGCTTTCATTTCTCTTAGAACAGGGGTCCCCAAGCCTTGGTCTGTGGACCGGCACCAGTTCATGGCGTGCCAGAAACTGGGCCGTGCAAACAAGCAAAGCCCCATCTGCGGAATACAAGCCGCACACAAAAACCCACCCCCTCTGGTCCATGGAAAAACTTCTCTTCACGAACTGGTCCCTGGTGCCCAAAAGGTTGGGGGCCACGGTCGTAGAAGACTGTTTGATGTCTTTTGAGCAATGGAAGCAAATGTTCCCCCCCCCCCCAAAAAAAAAAAACCCAGCTTCTGGTTCCTGAAGCCAGGCTGACCTAATATGTATCCAATTTCTGAGTTTTAGATAGTTCTTTAACTTCTTTTCATTGCAATTGTGTTGCCTTCACATGACTCTTGTAACTGCCATTGTGCCAATACTCTTGAGAGGGGTTGGGCTCTTTTTTTTTCCTTCTGATTCCACAGGATGGGAAAGAAAAGGCTTGTTTAAAAAGATTAATCATTCCAGTTATAGAAAAGGGCTCAAGTCTGAGAATTAAAGCTGGATGCATTCCATTTGGAAAGTAGGCCCACTGGTTTGAACAGCCAAAGCAATTAATCATGGGGACAGGTTGCCAAAGGGGAGCCCCCCCCCCCCTCCCCAGCACATGCCATCCGGATTAAACCTGGACTCCATTTAAAGGCAAGAAAAACTGATTTTAATGCTTGTTTGAATTCAGGGTGAATGCAGGGCAAATTCTGGTTTTGCTGTCACAGCTGCTGGATGAATCTATACCTGCATGATAGCTTGAATGTTTTAACTTTTAACATGATGCAACATAGTGGTTTACAGTGTATTTATCAGTTAAGATACCAGGTTAATAATCAGTTTACCTCCTGATTTTGGAGTTTTTGAGTCTAAGCAAACTAAGGCCAGAACAAGGAAAATAACCATGATATATTCTTGAACTGCTTTCTGTTCGCAAAACAGGCTATGTTTTAAGGGCAAGTTCACTACATGAATTACATATTGAGTCATAAATCTTGGTATACAAATTATAAGAGTGTTAGGTGTGCAAAGGTACAATGCACCCATCCACATTATGGCCTAGTGTTGCTGAGGATCATCACAATCCAGAATAGGAAACTAATTTGAGTTACCTTTGATTGAAGAATGGGGTTTCACAACACTTGAAAGTTAAGATCTTAGGTCTAATCTTTGAGATGCTGAAATAGCAAGCTGGGTTTGGATGAAATTCAGTTCCCTACTTGCCTACAAAGTTTACAGGGAAGTCTCAGGCAAGCCAATACCATTTGCCCAGATATAGTGGATCCATCTTAGATTCTTAATTTTGTATGATATCCTTGATGTTAGTGTGCCCATGGGTATCTCCCTTGTAGATCATGCTATTTAAAAAAAAACACCCTTATTTTAAGTCTAAGCATTTTTTAAAGGAAACTAATGTGCAAACAACCAATGCGGAACATATTTTTTATTTCCCCCAAATAATCTTGGGTTCCTCATAGATTCCTCCGGTATTGTTGGAGAATAAATACGGGATGCTTGTGTAGCGCAAGTACTTATTTGTAAATTTGCCCACCTGTCTAGGAAAAAAAAAAAAACAACAACTACAGGTTGATAGTGAATACAGAAGAGGGTCACCAAATTTGCAAATTGGGGATTTGTGACCATACATTGCCTCCCCCCTCTAGCCATTTGGTAAATGAGCAATTGAATGGTGATTTTCATAGAGCTCCCAAAACATCTTCTCAGAATGAATGAAATCTTGTTACTCCCAGCCAGCGTGAGTAACCAGCTTTATTTGGATGACCTTAGTTTGGAGAAAGCCTAACTTTAAAGTTCATGTTTATTTTAAAGCTATGTTGAAACCATGCTATTTCAGACTTCTTTTGAACTAAACTAGCTGCAATGTATCTTTAAAACAGTAATGGAATGACAGTTGTGACTGATGCCTCTCAACAGAAGCATGGTTTTAATGTGGGCTTGTTGGAAAGTACACAATTTATTATACAGCTGAAGGTTATAGATACCTTTTTGAACCTGGGGAATTCTCTGTGGTATTTTAATCACTCTTTTTTGATCATATAGATCCAGAAGGGCCATGCAATTAAACAAGAATTATCAAAGTATAATATATGTGTTCTTTTGAATCTACCATCAGTAAAGCCCCCTAAGTGCTTGTATGTACAAATTAAGAACAACAGTAATAACAATTATGTTATAAAAACCTATAAGCTCTCACTAAAATCAGCTGTTGCATTTAAACAGAGGATTTGTTTATTTTAAAAAATGTATATCTTTTCTGTCCTTTTGCCTATTGTCCTGAAAAGTCGAGGAAAGCATATCTGATAATGACTTTAGTCCTTGAATAGAAAATTATGAATAACTATTGAATGACTGTTAGCAAGGCTGTTAAGTCAAAGAAGAAAAACCAGAGACAGTATCTCAGTCTAAGCTAATAAAAGGGAGTCTCAGTGAGGACATTCAGCTCTACAATTCCCCATAGGCTACATAGCTAATTCTTTGGAATACAGTCCCCTCCAGGGTAAACAGTACCTTATTGAATTAAATATGTTTCCTTCTGAAACTGCAGCTTGCTATATGTAAAGCAATATTTCCTGCTAGGTTGGCTATATATGTTTTGGTGAGGGAAACTGCTTTTTAGTCACTGAGGGAACTGTTGTGATACTACAGAAGAGCAGCAGTCAAGAGTTTATTGAAATGACCTCTCCATTCTCCCCATTAAGGGATCATCGGATCTTAAGCATTGTGACAGTCTTCAAGTAAAATATAATGGAAAGGACACAGACAGAAGCTTGCGCAAATGCAAAAGAGCATAAAGTGATAACAAATCTTTGCAATTTTATAATATATGGAATAAATTGTTTCATGAGTTTGTGTTGTGAGATTTTCACTTGGAATGAATAATGAGATAAATACGTACATCTCCTGGCCATTTCACTATTGTGTTTGTTTTTTCAGTTCCTAGTGCAGCTAAAGATTATGGACTACAGTCTTCTGTTGGGTATCCATGATGTACAGCGAGCTGAACAAGAAGAGGAGGAAGACGTAAAAGAGGAAGAGGAAGATGGAGAGGGTGAACCTGGGGCACCTGTGGGCTCATATGGAACATACCCTGAGGGCATTGGCAGTTATCTGAACTCCCACAAACCGCTGGAGCCTGGTGACTTTGACCCTTATATTGATGTCTATGCCACTAAGAGTGCTGAAAGTAAGTTGGGATAGGATGAACATTTTATTAAATAGGTGTTTAAATGGATAGAAAAATGCCTTCGGGCCTTTTATTTTGTTTATTGCAGCATTTTGTACACCAGAATCTGTATCATGATGTTTACTATCATTTGCGACTTTCTTAGTTTATCAAGAATTTTTTTCCGTTAGTCGGTTCCAGAGAACACTCCAGAGTACAGAGGTCAGTTCTTTTACTTTATTTTTTATCTGTGATAGGTGATTGCAGTCAGCCCAGAAATATCAGAAACAGCCTTTTGTTGAGTCAAATAATTAATCCATCCTCCCTAGGAGTGATTAACTAGCAAGGATTCCAAGGTCTGGGGTTAGCTAAAAAAAATTTAAGCCTTACTTAAATACCTAATATAATCAGTACATACAATAAATATCAAGCAACACAATCTCCTTCTAGCTTACAATCTTGAAAGGTGTACTGTGTTTCCCCAAAAATAAGACAGGGTCTTATTTTCTTTTGACTCCCAAAATAAGCACTTTGCCTTATTTTTGGGGAAGTCTTATTATTTTTGAGGTGCAAGAGGCGGAGAGTGTGGTCACCTCATGGCTGCTGCTGTGTTGCAATATTTTTGGGGAGGGCTTATTTTCAGAGGATTGCTTATTTAAATACATGCACTCAAAAACCCAATTGGGTTTATTATCCAGGGAGGTCTTATTTCCAGGGAAACAGGGTACACAAAAGATAACTGAGTAACATCTGGTTAAAACTGAAATCCCAGTCTAGTTTAAGCATGGTTTTGTGAAGGAGTTCCCTTTGTTATTCCAAAATATTAGACTACTCTTTCTCAAGCTGGCACCTTCCAAGTAAGTTTTTTTCTGTCCTGTAGTTTTCAGCTGCTCAGTCAAAGATGTTGCTGAATGGGCATTTTGGGGAGTTGTATTCCAGAGTTTCCAGGCTGTACTAGTTTGGGAAAGGCTTCACCAAACTCATAAAAGGATTCTGTTAACTATGATATCAAAGATGTATGTGTGCCTTGTGGTAGATTCCAGCTGCAACTTCAGGTCTCATTTTTTTCTGTGCCTGTGGCTAGTCTTACATGTCCTCAACTTACAACCATTCATTGAAAAAAGTGACTTTTGACAGTTTTTCACACGACTGTTGTAGCATCCCTCTGGTCACGTGATCAAAATTCACCCGCTTGACAAGTGGCTCGTATTTATGATGGTTGCACTTTTGTGACCTCCTGACAAGCAAAGTTAATGGGGAAGCCAGATTCATTGAACAACTAAGTTACTAACTTAACAACTGTAGTGATTCACATAGCAACTGACAAGAAAAGTTGTAACATAGGGCAAAACTCGCTTAACAACTGTCTTGCTTAACAACATACATTTCGGATTCAACTGTAATCATAAGTCAATGACTACCTGTATTTAACTGTTTGTATCAGGATGGTCTTTCTTCAGTGCATTAACTTTGGTAACCTCTTTATTTATGGAAGGGAGAGAGTGGTGCTGAGTCCATGTTTATCAGATCTGGATATCAGCTTCAGAGAAAGAGGTTAAGTTTAATAGCCAGATTTTTTTTGCAAATGGCTATGGGCTTGAATTTGCAGTGCAGATTACACAGAAGTGAAGATAAAGAGAAGTATACATAAACTTTATTAAGGTTTTAGACCAGCCTATGAACCTAAAGAATGTGATTGCTCAAATGAATTACTTAGGATTGGTTTGCTATATTTTGATTCAGGAAAGGAATCTCTTCTTCCTGCTTCAACCCTGTTTGACCACTCTTTTGTAATCTGTACCGTATTTTTCGGAGTATAAGGCACACTTTTTTTTCCTCAAAAGAGAAGCTGAAAATCTGGGTGCGTCTTATACACCGAATGCAGCATTTTTTGCCTCCTGAAACCCCGCCTCCTTCACCAAAATGGCCATGCATACCCTTATGGAGGCTTTCAGAGACCTCCTGGGGGCTGGGGAAGGCAGAAATGAGCAAAAATCGGGCCATTTTTCCCCCCGCCAGCCCCCAGCAGCAATCTATAAGCCTCCATAAGGCTATGCATCCAATTTTTTAAACCAAAAACGGGCCCCTTTTCGCAAAAAAGGGGCCATTTTTTGCTCATTTTTGCACCCCCCCCCCAGCACTTTGCAAGCCCCCCTAAGGCTATTCATGCCTTTTGGGGAGGTTTGCAGAGTGCAAAAACTTTTTTTTTCCTTTTGGAAACTCTTTAACTGATTGATGAGAAATACATTGATCATTTTTCTCTCTAACTTCCTACCTACCTACACACACTCTCTCTCTCCCTACCTACCTACTGTATTTCTCTATATTTATCTCTCTATTTCTCTCTCTCTCTATCCCTCTACCTACCTATGTACACACTCTCTCTCTCTCTACCTACCTACTGTATTTCTCTCTCTCCCTCTCTATCCCTCTACCTACCTACTTTTTTAAAAAAATTGCCTCTTGAAAATCTTGGTGCGTCTTATACTCCGCTGTGTCTTATACGCCAAAAATATGGTATTTTGCTTATGTATTTTCTGTGGGGTTTTTTTGTCATTGTTGTTCATCTTTTTGGTTTGCCTATGGATATTTGTATGGAAGGGGACTACAGGTAAAATATGGCATCATATATATCCTTCACTGTTTTCTCTTACTTTTCCAGATGGTCCCCAAAAAGAGGTTTACTTCATGGGCCTCATAGACATCCTCACCCAATATGATGCCAAGAAGAAGGCTGCCCATGCAGCTAAGACAGTCAAGCATGGGGTGAGTTTGGCTTGCCACCTTGTCTGTTATGGTAATCAAACAATGCTAAGAAGGGAGCCATGATTTTGATTAGCTGGCCAGCACCCGTGACCCGTCAAAACCGCAGTCCACAAAAGCGCGCTCGACAAAAGCGCACATTTGACGTCATCACAGCGCGACGGAAAAAATTAAAAATTGAAATAAAAATAAAATTAAAGCAAGCCGATTCACATAAAGGTAAGGGTTAGGGTTAGGGTTAGGTTAAGGGTTAGGGTTAGGTTTAGAGCGTTAGGGTTACGTTTAGCGTTAGGTTAAGGGTTAGCGTTAGGTTTAGCGTTAGGTTTAGGGTTAGGTTTAGGTTTAGGGTTAGGTTAAGGGTTAGGTTTAGGGTTAGATTTAGGGTTAGGTTAAGGTTTAGGGTTAGGTTTGGAGGGGTTAGGGTAAGGTTTTCGCTTTATTTTTACA